GAAGAAGCCCCCCCGTGAACAAGGGGTCTAAGTTGGGGCCAAGGGGTGGTGTTGCAAAGAAGGTGGCATACTAGCCGCGAGAACCTGGTTATCGGTTCTTTGGGAAGTGCTACATCTGTGGTAGCGAGGGGTTTTAGTTTTACTAGGGCTATACGCCACATCTGCTCCAAGAAGGAGCTATTTACAACTTTCGAACCGGTTACAAATGGTAAGAAGTTGTTTATGGAAAACTCTACTACCTCATTTGTTGAGGGAAAGGTGGTCCTAAAGTTAACCTCAGGAAAAGAGATAACCTTGAACGAAGTCCTGTATGTTAAATGAGGGAAAGGTGGTCCTGAAGTTAACCTCAGGAAAAGAGATAACCTTGAACGAAGTCCTGTATGTTTCGGACTTTCGTAAGAATCTTGTCTCTGGGTCTCTTCTTAGTAAACATGTTTTTGCATGGGTTTTGAGTTTGACAAGGTCGTTCTGACGAAACACAAGTGTGAAACTTGTGTTGAAGCAAAGTGGACAAGACCCTGTATGAGTTATGAAAAAGGCGTTAAGCCTTCTTATAAATTCTTACGAATGTGGGGGTGTCTTGCAATTGTGGCGACTCCTACACCCTAACGGGTTAGGATAGGCTCGAAATCCGTGGATTGAATATTTCATTGGTTATGCACATAATAGTGATGCATATCGGTTTCTTGTATATAAGTCTGAAATTCCAGACATACACAGGAATACCATCATGGAGTCAAGGAATGCATGTTTCTTTGAAGACATTTTTCCTTGCCGAACCTAAGAAGGGGTTCCGAGATTTTGGAGCAATTTGGTGAGCTTGCTAGTGATGATGATCATTTTGATGATCAAGTTGAGAATCAAGGTGATGATCAGCCTAGAAGGAGTAAAAGGGCTAGGATGTCCAAGTCTTTTGATCCAAACTTCTTGACTTATATGGTTGAGAACGAACCTCAAACTTTCCACGAAGCTGTGACTTCTCCTGAGAGTCCTTTATGGAAAAAAGTGATCAAAAGTGAGATTGACTCCATCTTACAGAACCACACCTGGGAGTTGATAGATTTACCTCCAGGTTGTATGCCTTTAGGCTACAAATGGATTTTTTAAAAGAATGATGAAGGTCGATGGGTCTTTTGACAAGTATAAGGCGAGGCTCGTTATCAAAGGGTACAGGCAACGAGAAGGCCTGGATTACTTTGATACGTACTCACCTGTAACTAGGATAACATTCATTCGCATGGTGATTGCGTTAGCAGCTTTGTGCAATCTAGAGATACGCCAGATGGATGTAAAGACAGCTTTCTTAAATGGGGATTTGAATGAAGAAATCTATATGGAGCAACTTATAGGGTTTTCAGCTCCAGGGCAAAGCAAAAAGGTCTGTAAACTTGTCAAATCATTATATGGTTTGAAGCAAGCGCCTAAACAATGGCATGAGAAGTTTGACAACGTAATGTTGTCAAATGAGTTTAGAATCAACGAATGTGACAAGTATGTTTATGTCAAAGACACTAACAGAGGTTATGTCATTTTGTGTGTATATGTTGATGATATGTTCATTATAGGTAGTAACGATGAAATGATCAAAACTATCAAGAAGTTGTTAAACTCTAAGTTTGACATGAAGGATATGGGCAGAATATTTGGTGGAATTGTACTTTCTCAGTCTCATTATGTTGATAAGATACTTGAGAAGTTTAGTGGATCAAATACGAGTGTGTCATTGACACTTGTAGACTTAAGTCTACATTTTACCAAGAATAATGAAGAGAATGTCTCTTAGTTAGAATATTCTCGGGTAATTGGAAGTTTAATGTATCTGATGAGTTGTACTAGGCCGGATATAGCTTACTCGGTTAGCAGGCTTAGTAGATACACAAGTAATCTCGATGCTTCTCATTGGAAGGGCATTGTGCGGGTGTTAAGGAATTTACACTGCACTCAGGACTATGGGCTACATTATACTCGATATCCAGCGGTGCTTGAAGGCTATAGTGACGCGAATTGGATATCAGATATAAAGGACTCAAAGTCCACTAGTGGATTTGTGTTCTGTCTTGGTGGGGCAGCCGTGTTTTGGAAATTTTCCAAGAAAACGTGTATATCTAGATCAACGATAGAATCATAGTTTATTGCTTTGGATAAAGCAACGGAAGAAGCTGAATGGCTTCGTCATTTCATTGAAGATATTCCACGTTGGTCTAAACCTGTGCTAGCTATTTGTATTCATTGTGATAGTCAATCTGCAATTAGTAGAGCACAATGTAATATGTATAATGGAAAGTCTAGACATATCCATCGTAGACATAATTCCATACGACAACTACTCTTGAATGGAGTTGTCTCTATAGACTATGTAAAGTCTAAGGACAACATTGCGGATCCGCTAACCAAAGAGTTTAATCGAGTGTTAGTCGAAACGTCGTCAAAAGGAATGGGGTTAAGACCTTTTGAAGTTATCCGAATGGAAACCCAACCTAGTTGACTGGAGATCCCAAGATCTAGGTTTGATAGGACAACCTAATTGCGTGTAACGGTGGTATGTCATTAAGGAGGTTAAACCTCCAGCCATTCCTTCTATCAGTGATGCCTGCAATTGTAGAGGTTAAGCTGAGCTTTTAATGACTCTTGTGTGTTAAGCTGTTGAGCTAAGTATAGCAGGATACTAAAGTAGAGTCACCTATGTGAGTTTGAAGCGGGGCCGCTTCTAGAAGAATTGGGCAGGCCAAGATTCTTTGAAACCATTCGCTGAACTAGGCTAGTGGCCAGGGCCATACAGGGCACACCAATGAGAACAGAATGGTGGTAGGGGTAATTTCCATGTGAGATCTATTGTCTCAGTTTACATAAACGGCAGAGCAGTTCAAGATGTCATATTCACTGATCAGCCAGTAAACTCGATAGGTTTTCACTAGGAGAGGTTCAAAGCCAAAAGCAACATTTTCTGATGTCGGGGTTAGTTCGTTGTACTCTCTCTCCGAGTCATTATTGTTGAACGGTGTCCGTTTGTTGAGTCATTTGGTCAATTTTTATTCATGTGGGGGATTGTTGGAAAAAATGATTTTTTGGTGACTTTAATTTAATATTAAAGTGTGGTGACTTTAATTAAATATTAAAGTGGGTCCCAACCATTAATTGTGTTGGGTCCAAGTGGGTCAAAAACCATTGAGAATTGAATGAGAAATTGCCCCATGAAGTTAGCTTCATGAAAGAGTTAATGGGGTTTGTAACTTCTGCCTTTATTGCTGAGTTTAATAGTACATTAATGGGGTTTGTAACTCCTGCCTTTATTGCAGAGGTTAATGGTGCATTAGTGACCAGCCATAAAGGCTGGAGGCTTCTCCTCTCTCCCCTATACATGTATAAATTGAGACCCTCCTATCAAGTCTCAAACACAGAAATTGTTTCTTCCATTCTTTAGTCAGTTTGCCAGAAAATTCCTATTGTGAGAGAGTGCTGCCACTGTTTTTGTTCACTAAGCTAGACAGAGAGTGCTTCTGCTGTATCTGGTTTTTGACCGTCGTATCTTGGGAGACAGACGCCGGGATTCCTCAAGCACTCGACCCGTGAGGTGGCGAAATCTGTTTTAAGGAAACTGCTACCGTGCAGGCTTCGATTTGATTTTTTTATCATTTTATTATTTTGTGTATTTCTGTTAAAATTTAGTTGTAATTATCAGCATATGTTCTTGGTATATAATTTTGATTTCTTCATAAATCTATTTAATTAATTTTACAATTTGAACAACAAACCCTACAAAAATTTCACCATGGGATATGTGTGGCCCGTACATCTGTACATAGTGTGTATGGAACTAAATGCCACATAAATCAAACACCCCTACACTTGAAATCCAATGACAACAATACAATTGTTGGACAAAAAACCTACACATCTCACACATCTCTCAGCCCAACGTAAACTATTTCACTTAACAGATGAGACACACCAAATTCATATATTCGTAACAACTACACACAAACCAACAACATGTACATTATTATACATTACGTGGGCTTACCAACAAATGACGAGAACTACATCGTCTATGAACGATATCCACACTACGACTTCAAATCATTTACAGCACTCTACCAGATCTGTGAACATTAGGGTTTCATACACCAATCTTAACCCACAAAAATTGTGCCTACAAAATCTCTGTAAATAATCCCTTGAATATAGAAAGTCAGAGGCAATCGCAGATTTTTTACAAATTCAAACACCACACACGACAACCAAACACGGATAGGATTTCTATCGACCTTCTCAAACGGAATGTGTCTACAATTTAGGGATGTTCCACGGTTTTCAAAAATCCAATTTCGGGTCATGCATCGCTATTCACGCAAACACAGGTTGATCCACTTTATTTGTTCATGATGGGACCACTAATACGAGGTAACGGGTCGACCCGTGTGTTTACATCACACACTTATGACGTTCCATCTAATCACACAAAACATACTAATACCATTTTTTATTGAACGTGAAATAGAAACAATTTTATTCTCATAAATGACAAACTAATACGTTATTGGTAAACAAACCAATGGCAAATTTGTCAACAATTAATTTAAAGGACTACATAGTATACAGAAAATATTTAGTATCATATGAATTATAAGATTACAAAATAAGATTTATGGGTGAATTCACCTAAAATGTACTAACAAAAATCTAACTAGTTTCGTATCAATACTGGCCCCGTTTGGTAGAACTGTGAGAAAGTGATTATAACTAATAGCCTAACAGCTTATACCTTATAAATGTGAATATAAGCTGATTTTTTACTTATAAATTAAGCTTCTCCTTCTCCGCTCAAAGAATAAGTTGATTTTTGATTTACAAAAAATTATAAACTGTATTATAAAATTGAACCAAATACATCAAAATAACTTAAATTAAACTAAAAACTAAAATAAATTAGATATAAATCCCACCAAACAGGCCACTGTTTGAGAATGCCTGGGTCAAACAAAACACACATTGCCGTGTCGGCAAGCCCGAAATATTCTTGCATGATTGCAACCGATTTTGTCTTTAACTCGGAAGAATTCGGAATCGAGAAAAATTCCATCTCGGTTTCTCTTTCCATTTAAAGCTTTTTTTTTTATTTTCTCACTTTCCCGGAATTCAACGCTCACCCAAACATTCAATTCTAGTCTCCCTTTCCCAAATTCTTCTCAATTCTCACCTCTCCATCACTATTGAGATCATGGAGCTCTCTCTAATCTCTGATACAGTAGCCGTAGCTGCAACGCAAGGCCTAGGGTTTGCCAAGTCCGTTGTTCATCGCCACCATTTCACCTCCTCCAACAATCACCTCTCTCTCTCCGATTCTTCGCCGGAAAAGCCTTCCTCCGCCGGATCCCTCCAGATGTCCGCCGTGATTTTAGACGCCGTGGCGCCACCGACGGTTAAACCGAATCACTTGAGAACCGCTCGCCGAACGCTCCTTCGCAAAAAGAGGCGTACGAGGAGGAGGACCGGTGGCGGACCGGAGGAAGGCGACGACGGTGATTTTTTCGGCGGCGGCGACGACGGTGGTGATGGTGGTGGTGGTTTCGGCGGTGGCGGAGGGTGGAATTTTGATAGATTTGGATGGTCGAATTGGGATGATTCGTCTTCGTCTTCGCCTTCTGATCCTGCGTTTGATTTTGTTTTTGAGGTAATCAGTTGGATTGCGCTCTCCAATTGCTTGCACTTTGCGTTCAAGAAGGTTGTGAGAATCGTGGCGGATGGGATGGGCGATCCGGCGAGAGAGAAGGTTCCAATCTGTTAATTTGGTACTGCTCAATCTCAATCCTCCCAAATAATATTAATTTAGAATGGTAATTATTTAAGAACAATTTGATGTAAATAATGTATATATTATCATTGCTTCAATAGCAATTTATGATTTCTTCTTGTATATATAAGGGCATTTTGTTCTTTGTTTGGTTGGCATATACTTCATCAAGTTTGCTAGATTGTTACAAATAATTTATCTTCTATTGATTGATAGTTGTGGGTTTGAGTCCATGTTGTAATTTGTAGCACCTTATACAAATTGAAGTCTAATAAACTTAGGAGCAATTCCAGTTGTTAAAGTCAATATGGCTTTGCCAATGCCATTTTATTTTGACCTCAACACTTCAATGATGACTTGCCATATTGGCACAAACAGGTTCCACATCACCATTATCCAATTAATTTTTGCATGCTCCACTCTAGAACCATTTCTCGCTCACCGATCTAGATGAGTATGAAGTTTTTGTTTATGATTTCTTATTTTTTGAAGATGGATAAATTGTGATTATTGGTGTAATTTAACTTTTATAATTATAATTTTTAGTATTTTTGAGTTTTTCTAATTTGTAGAATTTTCTACAGTTTTAGAATTTTTAGTTGTGAGTTTTGGTTCGTAAAAGTAATGAACTTTGAAAGGGAAGAACTGTTGAGTTTTTAGTAGAAAATATGATGTGGCAAAAAATGACTCCACCAAACTTCAAGCCAAATTTGGCTTTTCCCGTTTTTGGCAATGGATTTGGCTCACCATTGGAGAGTGTTTTTTGTGAGGTCTCTAACCATTTTTTGACCATGACAAGCCTTTTGGCTTGACCATTGGTGTCTGTCCCTCCAAGAAGGGAGGCTCTTGCTTATGTGAATGGATGACTGCCCCATCTCAATCCTCCCAAATAATATTAATTTAGAATGGTGATTATTTCAGAACAATTCAATGTAAATAATGTATATATTATCCTTGCTTCAGTAGCTATCTATGATTTCTTCTTGTATATATGGTTATTTTGTTATTTGTTTGGTTGGTACATACTTCTATAAGTTTGCTAGATTGTTACATAGAATTTATCTTCTATTGATTGATAGCTGTGGGTTTGTGTTCATATTGTATTTTGTAGCCCATAATAAAGATTCTAGCGTACCAAATCTAAGAAATGAGACTTTTGCTTTTGTGAATGGATGACTTGTTTATGACGCATGGTATAAGGGAGTGTAGATGCATATAGTTTCGCTGTTTGAGCACTTGTTATTTAGACTCTGCTTGGTTAGATTATGGATTGGTAGGGATTTGAAAAGAGAACAAAAAAAAAAAATAAAAAATTATGGGTGAAATATGAATGAAATATAGTTACATTTCATGTATATTTCGCCAGTCTTTTCCCTTTCTCTTTCTAAATTCCTATTCAAATTCATAATCCAAACATAGCTTTAGAATGTTATGGTTTGGAAGTGGTTGTCATTCAAGGGATCAAGCCTTGCAACTTTTCTTCGTATAGTGAGGACAACCGAAAAAAGCTTGAGGAGAAGCTTCGTCACTTGAAACATGCAAGAGACAAAATGAATGTCAGCCTCTCAAACAAGCTGTAGAGATCAAGCCACAAACGTGTATGTGAGCAGGGAGGTAGAAGTAGATAAATCTATTGTTAACCCCTTGGGCTTGCCAGTGGCTTCTTCCTAGACTAGGTTTGTGCTTTTGACCTTGGGGTCGTTGGCTTGCTCATTTGTGTTCTTATTTTCCTTTTGGAACAGTGTACTAAACCTAATTGTATATCTTTTATTTTGGTAATAAAAATCTATCTTGTCAAAAAAAAAAAAAAAAACATGTTAGGGATACTTTTTGTGGGCTGTAGGATGTCGGTCCTGTCTTATATATACCCCTATTTGATGCAGCCAGATGGTGAAATCTGCAACTGATTACTGCAGGAGGTGCAACAAAAGTACACCTTTGAGGAGTCCCAACAATAATAATAATCAAAGAGAATACAACAAAGATAGCAAAATGATTTTAGTGGATAGCGTTTGCAGCCCAAGCATGTCACTTTAAGTTGTCTGTAGTTACAAAGATAATTGACACAACAACCAACAAATTATATCACATTTTACTCAATCATTTGATTAGAAAACAGCAATGTTGTTTACCCCTTCAAGACCGAACATCTTTCTAATGAAGCACTTCTTTCTTCAGTGTTGTCCCTAGGCTTTTTTGGTAATTGGACGATCCGGTCTTTTAGTTGTTGCTTGCTTGTTATTACCATCAAAGGTATGGAACTTGAATAAATTTGCCACGTTGAAGATAGGGCTGATATGAAGATCATCAGGTAACTCCCCCACATAAGCATTTGAGCCTAATTTTTTGAGAATCCTGTATGGTCTAGTATTTCTTGATTCCGGATAATGGTATGCCCTCATAGGAAGCCTTTCCTTCCTTAATCTTCTCTTGCACATATATTATTTCATTTTTCATTAAGGTGACTGTTTTAGTGAAAATTTTCTGTCTTTGGGTTTCGGGAAGTGTGTAATCATGGAGAATTGTTTGTGCAAGATGTTCAAAATTATAATTAGAAACATTATTTTGATAGTGTGAAGTGGTGAGCTCAAGATTTTAGAGGGAGCTATGAAGTGAATTTTGGGAAGCATTCAGGAATGAGAGAACATCTCGGCAAAGATTGAGGACGACAGTAGCTTAAACATTGTGTTGATCCAGTTGATGTGCAAATCACTAGCTTGTTTTTCATTCCAAAAAAGGCAAGTAGTTTAAAAGGATATAAGGAGGAAATTGGATCTGGCGTTTCAATGTTGGGTGAGTTAGTGAACTTTTAAGAAGATGTTTGATTAAGATGGAATATAGTGATCAGCACATCACTTCCAAAGCTACATTTTATTTTTCCTCTGTCAACAAGTCCCTCCAAAGATGCATAGTCTTCATCAGAGGCTTCTCTCTCTCCCAATGATACCAGAAATATGGAAAATTAAGATGCATAGTCTTCATCATAGTCTTCCAGCCCCGGTGAGGGTGCCGAAAAGAAGCAAATGGGGTTGGATTGGCCGATTGCTGGCAAGGTTGTGTGCAGAAGTGATGATTGAGGAGCTAATGAATGATTAAAAAAGTTCTTGGATGATGTAATTTTTTTTTTCTTTTTTTGAACTGGATTGGATGATGTAATTTTCTTCTGTCAATATTAGCTTATTCAAGAAAATTACATCATCCAATCCAGTTCCAAAAAAAAAAAAAAAAAAATTTACATCATCCAAGAACTTTTTTAATCATCCATTAGCTCCTCAATCATCACTTCCGCACACAACCTTGCTAGCAATCGGCCAATCCAACCCCATTTGCTTCATTTCGGCACCCTCACGGGGGCTGGAAGACTATGATGAAGACTATGCATCTTAATTTTCCATATTTCTGGTATCATTGGGAGAGAGAGAAGCCTCTGATGAATACTATGCATCTTTGGAGGGACTTGTTGACAGAGGAAAAATAAAATGTAGCTTTGGAGGCGATGTGCTGATCACTATATTCCATATTTCTGGTATCATTGGGAGAGAGAGAAGCCTCTGATGAAGACTATGCATCTTTGGAGGGACTTGTTAACAGAGGAAAAATAAAATGTAGCTTTGGAGGTGATGTGCTGATCACTATAGTCTTCATCAGAGGCTTCTTTCTCTCCCATTGATACCAGAAATATGGAAAATTACCCCCATAAGAGGATATTCCATGAATCAAACATCTTCTTAAAAGTTCACTAACTCACCCAACATTGAAACGCCAGATCCAATTTCCTCATTATACCCTTTTAAACTACTTGCCTTTTTTGGAATGAAAAACAAGCTAGTGATTTGCACATCAACTGGATGAACACAATGTTTAAGCTACTGCCGTCCTCAATTGCCAACATGAATGGAATCAACGTGATCCATTACCTCATGACAGAAGGCTGGAGTGTACAACTTATAGAAGAAATTTGGTAGCTCAATCCAGAGCATTCTGTGGCAAATGTAACGCTCTAACATGTGCGTTATGTGCCAATCATTATTTTGGATTTGCAAAATTTGTCATGCAAAAGCCGCCAATCCCATATAACCAGAAGCCACTACTCCAAGAACAGCAGGAGTACATCAGGTGGTGCGAGGCAGAAATGAAACGGTTACGGGAAGAGGCAATCCAATACAAGACTGAGCTGGAAGAGTTAAGACTCCAAGTTCAACTGGAAAAAGATGAACAAGAGCTTCGAGGGAAAGGTAAATTCAAGGCTGAAGACCTACAAGCCCTAGAAGAAGAAGTAGAAGCCTCTGAACAACTTCTGATGATGGAGACAATCGCAAAAGGAGAAGTCAAGGAGAAAAAGTCCACCAATTTGCTCCGTATCATCAATTCCTTCAGACACTGAGTAGATTGCGTCTGAATCTTCATCTCCTGGTTGGACGGAGATAACGTCATAGTCATCTGGTATTCCAAGATTTTCAAAGACTGCAACTCTTTTGACATTCTTCTTGTCTTTAGTACAGTCACGAGCATAATGGCCTTCTTCTCCACAAAGATAGCATTTACAGTGCTTTGATTTCTGCAAATACTTTCGTTTGTCGATTCTGACATGGGAGGAATGTGGCTTGCCTTTGTATGTTGTTGCCTTACGAATACCATATTTTCTTTCTGGTTCCTTGTAATAACCTGGAATTGGAATCTCCTTGCAAAACTCCAGATTTCTGAGTGACTTCTGGAAAGCAGCATTTTTACACTCAGCTTCAAGATACTTGTAAGAAAACAGTATCCTAGGTGCAACGCCAATTATATTTCCTGCATGTCGTTCATGATATGCCTTCTTGATTCTTTCTCCAAGATCTCCAGGCATTTTCGACCATAGTTTTTCCGACAATTCTTCTCCGACGAACAAACGTCCTGATCTTGTAGCAAGATGCAAATAATCGTTTAAAAACTTGATTATATCTTTGACATCTCGACAAGATAGTCGTTCAAGATCTCTGTAGGCTTCTTCCTGCATCAACGTCGAGCCCTGGTATGGATCTTCTAGTGTGAACACAGTTCTCATTTGAGAGAGAATATTCTGCGTCCCTTCATTACCATCTCCCATGGTAACAAGATTGTTGAATTCTCCGTCATACTTCATGTGCCATTGGAGTGACATGCTTCATTGGTTTATCATCAATGATAAATTCTGCATTCTTCAAGTCCAATTTGCATGTGATCTGGTTTTTCGACCATTGTTTCATAGGATCTTCCCCTATTATTCCACAGCTCTGCAAATACTTCATCAGCTTTGGATGCTTATCTTCAAATTTAGGAGCAAAAGG